ACGGGAGCAGAAAGCCTCATCTTTCTCCCGAGGAGCGGCTGGTGGTTTGGAACCGCTGACCTTGCAGTGAGCAGCCCAACACATAACCACAACCAGCCAGAGCTCCCACTGGCACGGTTCCTGCTCAGGAACTTCTGACGGCCTGACTCGGTCATCCGGGCCCCAGACACCGCCTGTGGAACCAGGCCCTGGTGAGGCTCCACACACTCGAGTGTTGCACCCTGGTCATTTCACAAAGGCCCCCCCGAGGAAGATGGGGATACGGGGCACCTCCTCAGTCTCCTTGGCACCTGAGCATCCCACGTCTTGGGAGCTGGTTCTCAGGGTTCCCCGGTGCTGGCTTTGCAGGTCGCCAGTGCAGGGCTTGGCCTCTCTAGGCCCTGGCTCCCCCTTATTGCTGAGATGGGGGCTCTGGGCAGTGAGAACCATGAGGCTAGCTGTGTAGCGCGTCCCCCTGGATCAAGAGAAGCAGGGCCGCAGGGCTTGGGCTGCAGAGGGAGGTGGGAGGCTGCTGAGAAGAGGCTGAGCAGAGGGGCTGGAGACACTCCAGGGGGCTGGCCACTGGGTTTGGCTGGGGTTGGCCTGTGTGGCCAGCAGGGTGGGCCCCACAAGTTGGACTGTCCTGGGCCCGGCCCGGGGCTCACAGGTACTAACTTAAACCAGATCTTAACGAGGCACTAACCAGATGCTAACGGCTCAGCCAGCTCTAAACCGCGCAGCGCCAGCCGCTCATTTCCAGGGAGGAGGGGGCAGTGCAGCTGTCCCTCTGCCCAGCCCTCCCCACCGCCCCCAAATAAGCCGCCATCAAAACCAAAAGCTAAATCTAAACTTAAACCTAATAAACGTCTTTTCTAAAAACCAAACCAGAGCCACAAACTCAGAGGGTTAAACTGACCCCCCAACCCACTAAAACCAAACCGCAGCCGAGCCCACCCCGTGGGCGTCCTGAGGGAGAACAGTTCGGAGCTGGAGCGCAGGCTTGGCTGTCAGCGAGCGGAGCCAGGTCCCTTTAACAGCTGCCACTTCTGTGCCTGCACTGCCCACCCGGGAGGGGAGGGGGCTCCGCTGCCCCGGGGGTGGGGAGGTAGGGGTGGGGCCCAGCCTTGCTCAGGGAGGAGGGCTGGTCGTAGGGGGCCCAGCCTGGAGCAGGTGTGTACTGCCCTCCCACCTGGGCGCTGGCCCTGCCTGCAATCTGCCTCGCACCTCGGCCTGGCAGCCTCTTGGTCTCCTCTGCCCACTGCGACCAGGACCTCCTGGGCTCGGGCAGACACTGGCGTGGGATGCGTGGGGTGTGGAATGGACACGATGGGGTTCCAGTTTTGGGAAGAGAAAGAAGCAGGCAATGACGTCATTGGAGGGGGGGTGCAACTCGGGAGGCCTGGGAGGCATGAGCATGGTGGGCTCCCTCCCCCAGCCTGCCTGTGTCCCGGGGACCCTCCCCCTCTGGGGCCCTGCCTGCTGGACCAGGCCAGTGGCTGATGCAGACTCTCCCCTGGTTGTCCACCCCCTCCATTCCTCCCTCTTGATGCCTCCCCCCACCCCGTTCCCTCTGTCCTCCTCCTGGCCCCCTCCGCTCTGGTCTGCCCCCCCACCCCACCTCCCTCAGGCCGCCAGCTGACCATCTTCAACAGCCAGGCTGCCATCAAGATTGGGGGCCGAGACCAGGGCCGCCCCTTCCAGGGCCAGGTGTCCGGCCTCTATTACAACGGCCTCAAGGTGCTGGCCCTGGCCGCTGAGAGTGACCCCAACGTGCGGACAGAGGGCCACCTGCGCCTGGTGGGGGAGGGGCCATCCGTGCTGCTCAGTGCGGAGACCACGGCCACCACCCTGCTGGCCGACATGGCCACCACCATCATGGAGACCACCACCACCATGGCCACGACCACCACGCGCCGGGGCCGCTCACCCACGCTGAGGGACAGCACCACCCAGGTGAGGCCCAGTGGGCGTGCGGTGGGGTGGGGCAGGTAGGGCTGCTGTGTGCAGGTGAGGGCCCAGGAGGATCCTGAAAGCCTCTAGTCCTGCCCTGTTGCCAGGGTGACAGTTCAGGTGAGGCGGACACGGTCCCTGCCCTTCCAGGTGCACAGTTGTTGCCCTGGTGATCAGGGATCTTGCAGAGGGGCC